CCGGCGCGGGTGAGTGCCGTCCCGGGGGGACCGGCGGGGGCCGACCTCACGGCCCGGGGCGCTCTCCCTGTGGACCCCGCCGGGGCCGGGGCCGGGGCCGGGGCCGGGTGGTGCGGGACCTGGAGCCCACGGGGGGTTCATCCCAGCACCCTCCGAGCTGGGCACAGAGCCGCCAGCAGAGGCAGGGCTGGTGCCCGGGGAGGGGGCTCTGGGTTGGCACGCGGAATACACCCATTCAAAGGAGAAGAGGGTCCTTATTGTCTATAGGGGACTGCCAGGTTACTTACACAACTAGGGCATGGTGAACAGTCTGTGATCTACAGGAAGCATCACTGACACTAAAGGGCACTGCGTAAATGAGGAAACCCATTCGAAAGAGAAGAGCGTCTTTATTGGGGATTGCGGGGTTGGTCCAAAAAAAGATATTACCAAAATAGCTGGGGTCTGGTGAATAGTCCATGATCGTTAGGAAGAATCACTGACTGTAACGGGCACGGAGTAAAAGAATAAACCCATTCAAAAGAGAAGAGGGTCCTTATTATCTATAGGGTATTGCAAGGCTGGTCCAAAAAAAGATTTTACCCAAACAATGAGGGTCTGGTGTTTAGTCTGTGATCTTTAAGAAGAATCACGGACACTAAGGGGCACTCAGTAAAAGAAGAAATCCATTTAAAAGAGAAGAAGGTCCTTATTATCTATAGAGGATTGCTAGGTTGGACCAAAAAAAGGATATTACCCAAACAACTAGGGCAGCGTTTCCCAATCTGTGGTACACGTACCACCGGTGGTATGCAGACATGTAGTACACGTTAACAGGTTTTATTATAATTACTTTATATAATAAAAATTTGCTGGTGGCACTTAAGGTTGCACTGAAAAATTTGCTGGTGGTACTTAAGGTTGCATCGTTTTAAATTGGTGGTGTGCAATCTTGTCAGAGTTTGGGAACCGCTGAGCTAGGGTATGGTGAATAGTCTGTGATCTTTAGGAAAAAATCACTGACAATCTTTTAGCCCTAGCAGTATACCAGTGTTTACAGTCACATGGCCAATGGGCAAACTTGGGCCAAAGCCGTACAGGATCCAAGTACCAGGCATGGGAGGTGGTGGCTCCTGTGCCAGGATGGATGGATTCCTTGTTTGAGACAGAGAGAGAATAGGAACAGAGAACTTCCCTCTTAGATACTCTTGAGACCCACATGTCTTAAGCAGGGTCTGCAGACCCCAGGGGTACCTGGATGACCCTGCCTCTGGCAGGGGCTTTGACTCGATGACCTCTGGATGTCTCTTCCAGCCCCTCTTCTTTGCGATGTTGGCTGCCGGAGATCTCCTGCCTTACCAGTGGCAGGTTAGGATGGTAGGCCTGTGTTGTGTCAGGACTGAGGGTAGTTTTAATGAAGAGTTTATGATTGTAAGGGACAGTTTGGCTAGGCACAGACTGGAATGACTTCTGGAAGCACCTCTCAACCCAGCTTCTCTATGACTTTGGCTGCCATGGTTCCCCTGCTTTACTTGTGGCAGGTTAGGGTGCTATGTCTGTGTTGTGTTAAAATTGACGGCAGTCTTATGTCAAGGTTAGATTATGGATTGTATAGGAGGGTTTGGCTAGGGCTGATCCTGCCTCGTAGGGCTGGTCCATTCCAGCCCTACTTCTGTATGACTCTTCACAAGATAAACCCAGAGTTTTCAAATAGGAATTCGCAATGTTAAATACATTCTGCCCACTGTGGCCTTTCTGAGGGTTTTGCAAGCAGAAATATGGCTCTTATTATTTTCCCATAGTTTAAAAATGAGTGAAAATGAAGAGCTCGCATTTTCCAAGGGCCCCTTTGAATCTAAGGGGAGGTTTCTGGAGTCTAAAAAGGTTGAAAACCGCTGCTTTAGAATTTGGGTTAGTAGTCATGCAGATAAATAGGTAGGGTTCCCCCCCTGCATTCAAGCCATATGGAATCTGGATTTTTTATTTTGGATGGGGTGTGGGAAGGCTGTCAAAACTGTTGGATTTGTTCTGTCTTTGATACAGGTTGGGGGTTTGGGTACAAAAATCACCAGGATACAGTTTTTACCCAGCTCTACAAGTGTGTTCACAGAAAACAGGGTAAATCTAGGGGTTGGGAGGGAGGGGGAGAAACTAGGATCCTATAAGCAGGGGCTGCTAGTGGAGATTAAGGTCTTTATCCTACAATCCTGCCCTGTTCTTCCAGCAACATCCTTGATAGGGGTGGAATGAGGGGTGTCCCTAGCCACGGCCCTGCTTTCAGTGTACAAAATAGGTGCTTTTTTCTTTAAGCTGAGAAGAACAAAATGCCTGCTGGTTACAAACCTTCACCGTTTGATAAAAAAGTCCTCCTGTGGGCAGGACGCTTTAAGGCTGAAGAGGATATTCCTCCAAGGATCCCGTAAGTGCATCATTGTTTCCAGGAGGGGTTATTGAGCTGAAGTGAAAGAGGGTAGCGTGTTCTTTGATTTGAAACTGACCCTAAAGCTTAACCTGATGATAATTATCCATGTCCTAAATTTCAGTGATCAAGTAGGAGGCAAAAGTACCTCTGATAAGAGATGGTGAGATAATATGTTACCTTTTCCTCTACTTCCACATCACTACCTCTCCCTCATTTAAGAGCTTCTAATGTAACTGCCCTCTCTGCTTTCCACTGTTACCTTTATGCTGTCACTTTGTACCAGACCAAAAAATGTGCCCTGACCAAATGCAATGCTTAGATCCTACTCAAGCTCTTTTTTTTAACTTTTAACGTCTCCAAGAATAGCCTGCGTCTTGGTAGTGAGGCCATTTTCCTGGGAGGAGGGAGTCTGTGGGCCTGAACCCCCTCAGGCAGAGGGAAGAACAGTCTCTCACATCCTGGGTAAGTGTTCCTTGCTCTAAGCCAGTGGATCTCCACCTTTATTGTACCAGGACCCATTTGTAAACATGGATGGCCAGTCCTGACCAGGTGCCCCCCACCCCCAGGCCCCAGCTTCTAGCGTGCCCCTTGCAGACTGGAACTCTGCCCGCCTACAAGGGGAAAAAACAGTTTCCCACGTTTTTCTCCTTTAAAGGAGAATCTATTTTTAAAGTTTGCCGATCCACTTATAGTTTGTTCACAACCCTTTCATATATTCTTGCATCCCACTTGTGCATCATGACCTACAGGTTTTGAAATGCTGCTCTAAGCTATTACAAATAAGTGGGGCTCTTTCTCCTTCAGCCATCTCTGGCCAAGAAAGCAAACTATGCTTTTTGAAGGAAAATGCCTTCAGTAGGAGGTTCAGGGCTGTGGATAGATGCATCTACTGCAGGGTCCAAGTGAGGCATTTGGAGAGATAGAATTTAAGACTTATTCCTGTCCTCAGCATTGCATGTTGGTTACCATCAGGCATCTGCATACCAAAAGCTGCTGGTTTTCATAGTTCCTTCCTCAGCATACTGGCTGTTCTGAATCCCATTCAGAGGTGATTAATTCTCCCTAGGCTCTGTATAGGTTGCCAGATGCCTCGCTTAGGGTTCTGGATTCCACTTTAGTGGGCCAAGTGCCTAAAAGTTAACCACCAAAATGCCTAAGCCCTTCATTGGATCTCGCCCCAAGTCTCACATTCTATTATTGTACCTTCCTGTGGGTGACTTGTCTTTTCTACTGTTCCATAAGTAGGGATAAGATGTTTTCAGAACAGTGATTCTCAACCAGGGCACCACCAAAACCTCTGAAAGGTGCTTCAAGGTGTGAGGAGATATTCTACCTGCATGATTTCCCCATCCCCCTCACCCAGTCCCCCTGTACAAATAAGAAAGCACTTATAATATATAAATTAGTTTTTAAAATTGGGTGCCGCACAATTCACAGAAGTTATGGAGAAAAAGGTCAAGAATCATTGTTTTAGAAGATTGTTACAGAAGCTGGCAATCCTACCATAAAAATGGAAATGCTTAACACAACGTAAGGCACAGCTGATCACAGCAGAAGGGAAGCTGTTGGACTTTCAGAACATGTCACCTCTGAAAATTTGGAAGCATCTGAACACTCAGATGTAAGCCTAAAACAATTTTCTGGGACCATGTTTTTCTTGATGAGTTCAGGTGGATACTGTTTAAGAACTAAACAACTTGTGATCATCATTACTGAAGGAAACAGAAATATTTGCGTGAGCAAGATGGAAAGGGTTTGGTCCAAAGCCTGTTAGTGATTTGAGCACTGTTGGTATTTGCAGATTGGCGTGTTTATTCTGTTTGATCTAACAAAATGTCACATCAGAGGAAGGTTGCATCAGTCACCAATATTTTGTTTATAGATCACATAAACACAATATACATTATGAAATAGTGGATGATTACTAAATGATGACAAACAAGTGACAATATATAATGTCAGCAAAGTGTTTGAGAAAAAATGGGGAGAGAGAAAAACAGCATGTCCTCTTCCTTGTTTACTTTTTCAAAGCATATTTCCAGGATCAACCGAAGCAGTTATGATCTGCTTAAGCCTGGAAAGCCCATAGGCTAGATTGAGGCATGTAGCTAATGGCCATGAAGAAGCAATGTGACTACCATTCTCATCTATCTACCTTTGACTTCCCAGCCTGAGTAACTGGGTTGACTGAGGTCAACCATTGATAAAGTCTAAAGTAAGAGGCCTTAAACCACTTTACCATTCCATGTTCTTCAGAAAACTGAATACACAAGGGTAAATCTCGTAGTGCATTAGACATTTCCTTTCCACTAGCCACCACCTCCTCAGATAATTTTACTGAAAAAAAATGTCATCACCAGAAGTTAACTTATAAAAGACATGTTTGTGTAACTGCCTAACAGAAATAATATCCATCTCCAGTCTAGCTACATTTCTTATTGCCAGACTTCTTGGTAGAGGAGTTAATCGTATGTAACATACTGCACTTTGAGAAACAGTTAAAGGGAATGTATCTGGGTGTTTCTTTTGTTTCCATCAGTTCCATTCCTTGTGTAATGAAGACAATAAGGAAGAGAGCAGCATGGTTGCAAGCAAAAATACACTTGTCCCTTATTTACGTCACATTGGACACCTTTTATTGTCATCCTCATGTTAGAACTATTTCCTATTCCAGTGGCAAATCCTAGTTTAACTGGCATCTATGGCAAAACTCCTATTACTTGAAGGGGGCCAGGAATTTACAGATAATTTTCAATGTTGTATTTTAGAAAGACTAATTCAAATTATATCACATTTGAAAATGTGGGTTGCACAGTACCATAACAATAAAGTTTGATTTCTCCAGAAGCTCAGCTCTCAGGGAACTGGGTGGGGAAGAATTAACTTTGTGAAAGCAGAGCATCCAAACAGATGGCTCTATGGCTGCAGTTGATTTCTCGCCGGCTCTGGGAACCAAATCCATGACTGCATTTGTGGACAAAACTTGCACCAGTGGTTTAGCCCCTGATGATTTTAGAAAAAAATCCTTCTCATGATAGGGTGCTCATTTCTCTCTCAACTTATAGCAACTTTGTCTTAGAAAAGACAGTTAGATTACTTTCAGATTAGGCCTCTGAAACCTATAAAAAATAAGTATAAAATACCCATGAGATTTTTTAAATTAACTTATACATAAGCAAGACAGGCTAGTTTGTGAGTGTGATAACTGCTGGACAGGCAAAAAGTAAATGTAATCACTCTTCTTTAACATGACCAAATGTTTTTTTTAGAACTGCAATTCATGAACCACGTAATCAAAAAACCTAATTCTTAGAAAACAGGCTTGAGCAAAATCCTGTTGTTAATGATTAGTTATCAAGATAGGCCTTTACTCAACTTGCCATTGCAAAGTTAAGTCATTTGGCATTAAGTAAGCAAGTCCTAGTGTTCCTCCAACATTTGTTTAAACAACACTGTCATTGATTTCAGTGAAGGGTGCGCTTGATTCTTGAGCATGGATGAAGAGGTATAGTCCTTAATGAAAGGATACAGCAGCCCATAAGGTTTGGTTCCCTTGAATCAGAGGCAGAAAGCAAGAAGTTGTATGGTGTTTCAGGACAGTTTCAATTAGTGCAATTTGAAATACGATTAGGTCTGTAAGATAGTTGTTACTGACCTAACACATTTATATTTTGGCTTCTGTTATTCCAAATGCATCCTAGATTAATAGTTGTATGCGAGTCTGGTTTTGATTTCTTAAAACTAATGCATTTAAGCAATATAGAACAGAGAACAAGTGTTCTCTGGCCTACAAGCACTGACAGCCAACTACTTGGCACCTGCAACTCAAGCTGCTCAGCTAACCCTGAAAGATTTGCCCGTGTGTGATAGTAAGGTTTTAAAGGGCTAAAGAGGAGCACTGCAGTCAGTGTCCAGTTTTATCACAAGTTTGCTTCTAGGTAAAAATGGATAGTGCTTGTTTTCAGCTGCTTTGTTAGGTAGTATGGCTGTCAAGGTTTGTCCCTTTGTGCATTTGAAAAAAGCAAGGTATTTTTTGGAGAAGTATGTAAAATTCATTCATACAATGCAATTTTAAAATTCTACTATAAAAGGAATGAATCTTAATTACAAGCAACAGGCCCATCAAATTAAACTTTATTTTAAAAGGGAAAGTTTAAAGAGAAAGGAATCGTCTCCAGTCTTGCACATGCAAGACAAAATTTGAATAGTGTTCAGTCCTTAAGTGTCATATCTAGTAGAAAATGGCTCAATTCAAGCTTTTAGGAGACTACATACTGGAGGGTTGAAGGGATTCCTGCTTTTGTGTCCCCCAACTTGGACTGAGTACACACAGCCCACTATTGCTTGCCAATTGTTTCAGGAACTAAAGAGCACAGCTGGTAGTGACCAGCAAAGGTTGAGGTTTCTGGAAGTTAAGGAGCTCTAGTTCAGTGTGCAACACGGGGCCTTCAAGGCTTGTCTGTGGTCCATAGATTAAAAACCAAAATTAATTGAATTGCCACATAAGTTGCACAAAAGTATTTTAAATTCATAAATACTGAATAAATGTACAGTAAATGTATGTCTTTTTCATTTCACAAAATTATAGGAGAAACATTACACAAAGTTTTAGGGGAAAAAGTATCAAGGAATTCATCTACCTTGTGGTTTCATTTGGAGATTATTAACTACTTTCCACTTCACAAAGTGAAAGGAAAATGCGTCAATCCTGGAAGGGCCACATCTTACTAACTGGTTCACAGTATTTAACTTGTTAAAAAAGTTACATCTATGGTGCCTAGAAAGGACACACCTCAATGTTTCATACTGATTTGTCTCACTACCATCTTAATTTTAGGCACGAAATGCTGGATTTTGCAAGAAGTAAAGTTCGAATAAAAGTCTGTTACATCATGATTGGACTTACAATTGTAGCCTGCTTAGCTACAATTGCATCTGCTAAAAGAGTAGGTATACTGACTGGTGGGGGTGGTGGTGTGCATGTGTGTGTATGTGTGCGCGTGCGTGCCTGCACGTGTGCGCACGTAGGCATGTACATGCGCATTTAAGACAGGGTGTCAAACTCTACAGTATTGTAATTTACAAGCTGCTATTTATTCAGACTTAACACTACTGTATGTTAGCTACCAAACACTCTCCTCCACAACTGATGTTACTACAGGACATTAACTGCCAGCATAATGCAATATTTTCAACACTGCACTAAAGTGAGCATCTTATTTTTGCAGGCTACTGAACACCAGGAATCCTTAATAAGCGGGAACCTAGCCAAGAAAGCCAAATGGCGTGAAGAGGCTGCAACAGCAGTAGAGTCAAAGACTAAATAATCTTTAAAACTTGAGCAGCTGCTTGTAGGAGCAAACTTTAAAATACCTAAACAATTTCTTTGTATTGGCAATTTTCTCCATTAATGAGACTGTATTAATAAAACTTTGATAAATTAGAGCGCAACTAAAGTTGCATAGGAGCATGGAGTTTCTTTCCTTGTTACACAAAGATGTTTTAAATACTTACAACGTATGGCCAAGGTCAATTCAAGCATGTGGAAAATTCTAATAATTTTAGTTTCAATAAGCTTTATCTATTTTCCTGTTTAGATAAAATGTTAATTGCCTACAGATGGCACAGGGGATCCAAGGTGTCATTGCCTCTGCCCTGAACATTTGAGTTGATTCTGACCCTTGCTTTATATTATTGACTAAAACAGGGCATGTCTACTCAAGATGCTTAACTGTGCAGTAGAGCTAATTATTGCGCAGTAAGCATCCACATCTACATGTGCAGATGCTTACTGTGCAGTAATTGGTTCTGATTGCGAGTAAATTTGCTACCTGCAAATGCAAGTAGCAAAATTTACTTGGGATCACTTACTGTACAGTAGTGCATGTGTATATGCCTGATCAGGAGAAAATATCCTCCTGGTCAGCCGGGCAGCAAGGGGTGGGAGATTGCTCCCTTCCCCCAGGGAGTTGCCAGCTGCTGGGGCAGGCTCTGCTACTGCAGCCTGGGTGGGGCAATGTCCCTCTGCCTTGGCAGCAAGGAGCTCCCAGCCCCTGCTCTGCAATTGTGGGACTGGGAGATCATTATTTCCCAGTGCCAGCTCTGCTGTTGTAGGGGTCCATTACAGGGCCATGGGGAGTGGGAGCAGCCTGCTGCTACATCCTTGCACATGTAGTCATGTGCCTGGGAGAGTTTACTCTCCAATAGTTTACTTGAGAGCAAACTGCTGCTGGATTAGTCGCATGTGTAGACACATGCACAGTTTGCAAATGGCTTTACATTAAAGAAAGGAGTGTTAAGCCAGGGGCTACAAGCTTGTTTTGAGATGTTATTGATTCTGTTTATCACTACTGCAGCTCTAATGGGGGGAGGGGGGAAACAAGGTAACGATAAAGCATTTGCTCCAGTCAATAAGAAGAGTTTGACACAAGCTGGACTGACTCTGCATTTGCAAACTAATACACAAAGAGTTAACCCTGGAATCCTCCATGAAGCTAATTTTGAAGCCAAAGAAGATGAGGATAAAGGGAAACACAACATTGTTTATGTTAGATATTTTTCTAATTTTAAAAATCCACTTCTTGCAAGATTTGGGTTTCTGTTGGGGGGCAGGGGAAGGAAGTATTGCACTCTCCTACAGCATAGAAACTTGGTTCTTCCTATAGAGAAAACTGCATTTTTATTTGGCATTGCCTAAAGAATGGGATTCGAAGAAGCACAATATTCACATCTGTGAAAAACTGCTTTTATTAGTTCTGTATGGTATTTGTAGTTGTAACATTCCATAATATTGCATACTGTTCATATGTATGTTTAATTACAGTAATGGGCCTCCAATCTGGATTTAAAGATGCACTATCACTATAGACATTAGTTTAATACATTAAACTAATGTATTAAATGCCATGTATGAAAACAAAAACACTTCTAATTCATGATTTCTATTAAATGTCAGACTGGTTTGCAATCCATATCAAGTGGCAAATTCAGTGTGTGTATATAAAAACATCATATTCAATATTGCAATTCAGCTTTTTGTAAGACCATAAAACCAACTGAGGTAACTGAAGATGAAGGAAGATTAATAGTGCATCTTTTCACACAGTCCCAGCAATTAAAAAAAACAAAACAAAAAATCCAAACATTTTTCCAGTTTCAAACTTGTTCTATAGTAAAGAAGTTAATTTCTGTGCCAACATTGTTACTGTATTTGATTACTGCTAGCAACAGTGTTCAAAGCAAATACTACAAAATTAAAGAGCAGTATGAACAACACTTCAAAGACAAAAAGTGCAGTGATGAAAAATGTCAGTAGAAAGTTAGATATGGATTTTAGTGTATCAGATTAGGGAACTAAAACAGACTTGGCACAGTTGCATAGATTAACTAGTCGGAATTCAAATTCAAGCAGAACAAATAACACCCTATTAAAAAATTCTTCTTTTGAAGAAGCTGCATAACTAAAGCAATGCTTTAAGTGTTCTGTTTTTAAATTAAATTTAGAACAGGTATGAACCTTCTAGATAAAGCCAATATGGACAAAATATTTAGCAAATTCTGGCTCTGCTCAATCACCCACCTTTAACAGCCTTTCATAGAGCAAAGCTAACAGCTCCCCGTGCCCCAGTCAACTGCATTGTTCTCATAAGCATCTATGATGCCATCAGTGACATAGGCTTTGTTAACTTGTGAAAGCTTTCTTATAGAACACAGCCAGACAACAGCCATTCTTAATGGATGGCTATTTAAAACAACTGTTTCCCATGAGACTTAGTTTTGCTTTGAGTAGAACTAAAAATTACCAAAGGGACTACTGGACTTTAACTGATTAGGGTAAACCTTGAGATTAAATAAGATCCTTTTCATTAACCAAAGTCCATTGATTTTAGTTCCCAATTAAGCTAATAGCAAATACTTCGAATATGCCAGAGGCATGAAATATAATTTTGTATCTAAATGCATAAAGTGCAGTCACTAACTGCTCAAACACATACTGTATCCACAAAAGCACTCTCAAACAAGTATTAACACTTTAAATGCCCCTTCTTCTCACCATTTACAAGTCTTTTAATTAAGATTTTCATAATTTAGATTTGGCTTAACTGGAGAGGCTTATAAATGCAGTGCTTACGGGGTCCTCAAAATAAAAGCAGGCACAGCTGGTTATGCAATATTATCAAAACAATTTAGCTAGAAATAGTGGAATACCCTGTTACCTGTAATTATTCTTTCATTAAAAGAACACTGAAATTCAGCATTTAACTAGTAATCCTGGTAAATTTCCCAATATCATTACCCTGTATGTTTTGAACAAATACGCCCAAAAAAACCTGACAGCATCTCTCAAACTATCATTGTAGAAAAGGGCACAACTACAATCCTCCAACATTATAAGAAAAATTTGGCAGCTGTACTAAGCATTATGCACATTATTCAAAATGCTGTAATTCTGTACAAATCTTATGTTTAAAGTGTCACTTGCTAAAATCTCATTATATAGAACCTATAAAGTACCAGCACTCCTATGTACATTCCCTCTCCATAGTGAATCTGATTTCCACAAAAAGAATTCAAGTGCAGTTGCAGTTTCTCTCAATTATATCTTGCTAATTATAATCAGTCACAATGGTCCACCAAACTCATAAAATCAGCTTCCTTCAATTCCCATCTTCAAGCTACAACATAGTATATATTGCTGTAACAGTCCCCTTAAAGTAAATTCTGTTATGAATGTCAACCAAAAAGAGTACTTGTACTTTTTATAAGCAAATTAAAAAATCTTAAGTACAGTGAAAGTACGTAAATGAAACCACCCTCTAATCAGTGCATCAAAGTTTTGGTTAGCAACCAGCACAGTATCACAGGAAAAGTGATTTTAATTGGAAATTGCAACTACTGTAGAGGATTAAACACTTTCAGAGGTCAAAGAGGTTTTCACTATTATTTCAACACAAAGTTTGACATGAATATGTTAAATATTTAAAATGAGGTTTTCAATAGTCCAAAGGTTTAAGTTATCAGACTGACTACTACTATGTGAGAACAAGCAGTACAGCTTAATGATTTTGAAAAAATCTAACGTCAATATTCAAATTCTTAGATATGTTTTTTTTAGTTGGTAGTAGCAACAGACATTAAGTGTTGTAGAATTTAAATATTTAAGCAGACATCTAGATTCATTTTGTTGTCTGCATACCTAATATCATATTTACAATAAAACAAACCTTTTTCCTTCAGCCAGATGGAGAAGATTCCTTCTCCCAATGCAGCAATACTACGGATCATAATAGGGTGCATTTTTAATTTTATCTAAAAGAAAATGCAAACACTTCAAAACAGTGGTAACATATTTGGTCAGAAGCAACACGTATACAATCAGTCTAAACTTTGCTCAAGAACGGCAAATATTGCAGGGATTCTCAAACTAGTATAATCTAACCACTTTTTAATGTAGAAACAGTCACATGAACCTGTCCTATTTCTTACAATTCACCCTCCCTCATTCCCAATCACAACATTCCTGTGGCAACTATAGTAATTGCTCACATAACGAAGTATCACATTTGTAACTGGCTTTTAATGTTGTTTAGCAGCTTGAACTAAGGGGCCAGCATCAAAACTAGAGAGATTTCTACTGATTTGAAAGCCTTTAAATAAGTGCGTCTACATGATGCAGAACTGCCTTTTATGTTTATTATATATTCGAAGTTAAATCAGGTAATCAACATTACATACTTTAAAATCTGTTTGCTTTTAAATATGCTTTATAAATACATTTCACTAGTCCTTTGCAAGTATAATGATAAAACTACATCTTACAATTTAAATAAATATTTTTCACATTCTAATTTAGCTTTTTTTACAAGCACTTTAATATTATGCTTTAGTTTTGAAGCAACTTTTTGGCTTCAATATAAGAGGTAGATTTGATAAAGATTGGGCATGTCAAGCTTACTGTCAACAGCTGCACTGCTAATATGCAGTTTCAAAGATTACATGAAAAATTCAGAACCACTACCTAAAATCCTACTGAGGTTATTATTCAAGCTTAACAGTTCTTGTTAAATCACATATAATGCCTTAACGTTAGACTTGATTACGCACACAGTCCGTTTCTAAACATACAAGACAATGGAATACAAAAATACAAAAAATGAATGAATGAAAAATTGTTTCTAACACAAAAGTTACAAAAGTGCACGAGCTGCTTCTTTATCCGTCTTCTGCAAAACTCGTTCAAATGTTCTTCTAACTTTGGCCACAAAGAGAAGACCCTTGGGAAAAAACCCTATAATGTTTACATTTACATATGCTTGTCTTCACTTAAACAATTACAGCTGAAACCCTTCCATTGGAGCTTCCTGTTGCTGAAACACAAACTGTTGCTGACTCTCATCCACTTGAGGTGCAATACTAGCATCCTCTTCTTCCACACCAAAGTAATGTTCTATTAGCTCAAAAGCCT